CACCTCGCTAAATACGCTCGACTCGTCTCGGACGCTAGCCGCGGTGCCGTTCTTGATGCTTTCGATTAATTTCTTTCATTGGTTTCCACACCAGGATGCCTTTTATCCCTTCTTTTTCATTTGAATTTTTTATGAAAATTTATTTCGATGGCTTTTCCCCTTCTTGTCCTTTTTTCTTTTCTTTATGGGGCTTTATCGAGTGAAGGATTCTAGATACATGGTTTACTTTGCATGGCAACTGGTGCGGAGATAGACGTGGAATTGGATGTTTCTTAGTTTTTCTGGATTTTTTTTTGAATAGAAGTCATATGCGTAGTCTGATGAACCAGTACGAAGCTAGCGTCTGGACTAGAGGTATTGGTCCTAATTTGACCGTTTTAATCTTGAGCCCATCACGTTTTACGGCGAATGGATTGAGACGCCCTGTATTGACCGGGGCTGTAGGATAACTAAATTGTAACCGGGCGAAGTCGTTGCTATTACTTTGCTTAATGACCTCCTAGTTAACTATCGGCTTTAGAATTAATATATGATCGGAAGAAGCGACGCTGTCACGACTTTGTCACGACGCTGCTATGGCATTTCTGCTAGCCGTAATCGAGATTGTAACAACAGTAAAACACTCTTGCCAACAAGGATACATATGACGATAATGATTCTTGTTTTACAGCGTATATAGCTAGTTCATTAGGAGAATACATATACCTGATTGCAATATTGGGACTAATATGTTGGTTTTTGTTGTATTCTAGATTGTTTCCTCGTGCTCTTCAAGCGGCTCCGAGCTCCCTGTCGAGATAGATGTTCTTCAAAAAGGGTTTAGTCTACTGGAGCCGAAGAGTTAGGGTTTCTAATGCCTCGAGGTAGAAACCCCAAATCATCGCAGGGTTGTACTCGCTTGAGTCTTAATTTTCAAGACGTCCGTTACGAATTAAAGACTGGTAAGGCCAACAAACCATGAAGCTCGTAGCCTATGTGGAGGCAAGAGGGCCGAAGGTAGTTACAATGCAACTATGACTAACGGAATCTTGATATCTTAGCCTAAACGCATAGCGCACGTTCTAAACGTTTTTGACATCGGACGCACCCTGTCTACCACACAGCAATAAAATGAAATGCCTCGACAGTCTGTATCAAGGTGTGCGTTAGTCACGACGAGTTTGATGGATCAACAATGCCTGTGCGCATGTATTTTCAGCCGCAAATACCTAAGCTCGATTGACTAATAGTCGGGCCGATACCTTGGATTAATTGACATGGGCGTGAACTCTGGATATCGCCAAACTCCGTAGCCCCTCAATTAACTTGTAACTTACCCATACCCCATACCGAAGATCGTCCAGAGTTCACCTATCCGTATTCAAAATGGCGCCTGAACTTAAATTTAAGATCAGGCGTAAACTTCGCTACCTAAATTCCAGGTAACCCTCGATATTTGGCAGAATAACTTTGCCCTACTATTGAAAATTTCCGGGATTTTTGTTTCTCGAAAAACTTCGAATACTCCCGCAGAAGAAAGGTGTGGGATTCGATCGAGTGCACGAGAACATGAATTTAGGTTGCGAAATGCGTGCCGCGACGACGATGCTTCTAACAATAGTAACCAGAAAAAAAGTAGACCCGAAAAATGGCAGCAAAAGTGGCCAAGGACCCGGCCCCACTTTTGAAATCTTGGCTTTACGGCTATACATCATTTGATGTGTATGCAAGTATACCAACCATGGAGATAACACAATATATCGCTCGAGCTTGCAACGATCTAGAGAATCTGGATCCACAAGAAAGTGAAGAAGACGGGAAGAAAAGACTCGAGTTTCCTGGTGGTTTCGCGCACAGCAAGGCAGCTTTTTATGCTGACGGCATTTGTTCCAGAAGAGGGTTTATATCTGATGTAATTTGTGGTGGAAAAGCTTAGCCGTGCTTGGTATGATATTGCGAATTCGCGAACTCCTTCGCTGTATTTGGAAGCTCTTTAATATGATCCAGTCCAATCCAGATTCATGTTCCCGCCGTCGGCGCGGAGAGATATCAAAGCACTTTCCATTCTTTCGGCCTGAAAATGCGCGAAACAATGAACCACGTTAATTACCTGCGTTGTATATTCCGCTGTGTCTTGTATCGATCAATGAATCGCCGCCTGAACGAATCTTGAGGCTGAGTCCGCCCAGAGCTTGATCTGATCTCCACACCACCCCTCCTTCTCGCTAACGTTATGAGCCTCCCCTTGTCCCTGTCAACGACCAACTTTCTTTCCCTTTGCAAAAAAAAAAAAACCAGACCCAAAAATGCAGGTCTATCGAGCAAGGGTGGGATGACAAATTTAAATTTAAACCAACCCAGCCCGTTTACATGATCAGTAGGAAAAAAATCCTCCATCAGGCTGGATTTGATTAGTACTCGTAAGAAGCACCTTCGATTTTACCCAGATCTGGTCCTGCGCCGTGGGTGCGCAGGACGGGGTAGTATACCTCTGCTGTAGGCAGTGAAACGGCAAGGCGTCTTAGTCGCGCGCGATCGCTCATTCTACTGAAAGCACCTGCTATGGGGCCTGATGAAAGAACAGCAAGATGGTGTCTTGGGGAGGCTTAGAAAGGTACTTCCTTCTGAGCTTGTGACGCAGCAAAATCGCGCCAAAAAAGAAGCTGTCACTAAAGAAAGTTCGCAGCTTGTACCTGGAGCTCTATCCATGCCCCCGGTCCCTAGAGCGGGATAAAATGCAAGCTTGGGATGCATGATCCTGTAATTCGCAGAAAAGAAGCTATACTCTGTACACTCTGAGGTCACAGCACACGTATTCTACCTCCCTCGTTATTACAAAAAAAGTAATTTTTTTTTTCTTCTCTTAAAGAAAGCAGCTGGTAACCTAGAAAAAAAAAGTTTGCATTATTTAATAAAGTCGGGTGTATCCCTCCATATCACAGTTTGAATCTTTGTGTACCCGACTCGGATTCGGTTATCGATATCGAAGCTAGACTCCCAAATCTCGAAATACCCCTCCAACGCAGTCGAAGTCGCTACAAAACTTAAAATAAAAACACATAATCAATATGGCGCCTAGAAGAGGAGGATCCGGCGGCGGCGGCGGATCATTCGAGAATCGGTGCAGCCGCGTCGGCGCTTTCGAGGACGACTTGGATAAAGCAGCAATCGGAGTAGCAGGTGGAATATTACTACTATTTTTCATACTATCATGTTGTGTGATCAGCCGAAGCGGAAAGAGAAAGAAGGCCGGCCAGGAAAAGTCGATATTGAGATGGTATCAATACGGAATTGCCCTGTTTTTGGTCCTGGCGTAAGTCTCTATACATTCGAATATTCTTGAGAACCTTCAATTGACTAACTTGCGTAGCTGGTTCATATTGCTCATCGTCAACGACGTTCTCTCCGAATGCGGTATCATTTACAGTGGCAACATCGAATCCAGTGCTATCCAGACCGCAGTAATAGTTACCCAGAAATTCACTGAAATGTACCTGATGGGTATCATATTGTTCGTTGTCGTGAAACGCATGTTCCAACTCGCCGGATCACTCAGTCTCAAGCGGACAATGGTAATCCTCGGCGGCATTTTCTTCGCTATCGTCGCTATCGTATTCGTGGCGTATATGGTCATCCTTGGTTTGACCGACTGGGGCGTAAATATTGGTAGGACAGCGTTCACCACACGCTTTAAACTAGCAGAAGCCTATGCTGCGTTGTACCTTCTACTAGTTATATTCGCAATGGTTGGGTTGATTTTAGCATGGGTTCGATTGGCAAAGAAGCCGGAACGGAAGCAGGTTCGTATATTTATCCTCATATTTGTTGGAACCAACAATCTGGAAGCTAACCACGATGTATCGTATTACAGGGCGTGACGGGTTGGATCCCAGTCCTCATAATCTGCCTTCTCGGTTTCTCCGTCCACAACGTCGTTATTGTGTTCCTCATAGACTACGACCTCTTCAGTCTCACCCGGCTTGGCCTCACAATCGGCGTTTCCCTTGCCCTATTCTTCTTTTTCGGTGCCTTCTTCTCAGTTTTCATGATCGCTCGCGGAAAGGGCTGGGACTTCCTCCATCTACCACAGGATATCCAGCCAAAATACAGCGCACCTCCACCAATGGGGTCGCCATACACCCAGAGTCCATATGATTCCATGCTGAGCCCCGATGGAGCCAAGAGGATGAGTTATGCATCTCATTCGACTGCGCCAACCGCAGCACCACCTTATATGGGAGCGACCGGAATGGCATATAGTGGTAATGGAGTTTATGAACCCCAGGGACAGACATACCAAGCTGGCGGATGGACTTCAGGTGGATATGCGCCAGTCGGCCAGGTCTCCACAGGGTACACTGCGCCAGTTGGAGCTGCGAGCCGAGAAGTGTAGACCAACTAACTTATGGGGAGGAGATAAAAATGGGCCGATGTGAGACGGCATATGTTGATTTTGTGTTCAGGTCAAGAGCGGGCTTAGATTTGCATATTTGGTAATGAGTGAAGAATTCCCTTTGTGTATCATGATATCCTTTTTCTTTCTGTCTTTCTCTCTTCTTGTTTTTATTTCCTCTTTTTCTTTTGGGATTTTCTTACATTATCTGTGTGAAGTTTGATTCCTGGTTTGAGGGTTTTGACGAAGCAAGATATTTATGTATATGTCGTTCCTTTGGTAGTTCCTTTTTAAAATTTTGCGGGCCTCGATCGAATTCACTTTGAATGCATGGTCGAGAGTACTGTATCGGCGTTATAAGGTTAAAATATAATATGAGTCGTCTACATATCGACATCTGCATCTCGATTCTTTGGTACAGGTTCTAGAATTCTTCGTATCGCGATTCGTCACATTTTGTAAGATATAGCATAATAGTTGCACGTATCGATATGGTATGGCCACATACCAGTCTCATATTATATAATACTAACTACCTAAGTATATACATGAATAATATACCGATCAATAGCGAACACGCGGCGTAAGGGGGTTCATGAGACCCATTTCCATCTCGACCTTCAACAAAGCCCGGTTAGCTCAATCGGTAGAGCGTAAGACTCTTAGTTTCTCTTGAATCTGGTATCTTAAGGCTGCGGGTTCGACCCCCGCATCGGGCTGTTACAGCTTCAATTCTATTACAGAAGCTTGTCTTCTCTTCTTTTTTTTTTTTTTTTTCCTTGTGTAGTCTTCTTTTGGTGATGTTTCGACATTTTAGGTTGTTGAAGATTTGAGGAACGCAAATTTTTTCCCTCTCCCTGGTTACTCGGTGCGTGTTGAACCATGTTTGCGTTAATCCTTGCCGATCAGCTTTTTGTGGGCGGACTAACCACAGAAGGGTCCAGGAGCTCTCTTCTCTCGGAAAACTTTTTTTTTTTTAGCAGGTAATTGATATCTGAAGATTCGGCTTCTTCTTGGGCTGGACTCGGGCATAGTATACTAGAAATACATACTCTGTAGAGTGTCGCTATAAACTGCCCAGTGCCGACTCTCACAGATCGAAAGCCAGAGCTGGCTGAATGCCGCAGCATAGCAACCCGCGATGCAGGTTTAATGATCTGCGTTTTTTCATGCTGTGTCGGCTGTCGGCTGGCAAATAGAGTTGGGTTACACAGGCTGAACGACCGTCCCAACACACGGTCTATCAATATGCAACAATTGCAAACAGAACATTTATCACTCATTTCTGACATGTTCCGAATTGTGGACGCCAAATCTGATCAGATATGGTTGGTGTCCAAGGTCGATCCAGGCCTATTCATTCTAAATCCGAATGGGGGTAATTCTCCAATATATAGTAGTAGTTACTTGATGACCCCATTACCTTCCTCGCTGCACAATTGCACAATACACACCGCATTGTCTCGTAAAGGGTCCCCAAACGTCACCAGGGCGGTTTCGCAGCGAAGATGCCAGCGGAAAAACGTCCTGCAGATAATAGTCGTCTGGCGTTTCTCATGAGGATTCGAGAGCAGGAACTAGCCAGGAGATCAATCAGAAACGCTCGTCGTGGCAGAGGCAGACCCCCAGGATCAAGGTCGCGATCTCGCTCTGCAACATCTATACCCCCCGTTCAACAGAGAGTTACAAGAGCACAATCTCGGTCTAGTACGAATTCACTATCGCCTTCGCCCACTCGGAGGCGTGGTAGACCGCCTGGTTCACGTAATCGAAATCAGGATGAGAATGTTCGACCGCGAACCCCCTGCGACGGCCGCCCTGTTGGTAGCTCTGGCCCGGATCCACCGGCGAGGGTGACCAGGTCTACGGCTAGCTTCGACTTCCAATTCCCGAGACCTCCTTACGCCGGGAGGGTAGTGAGCCCGCCGCCGCAACGTTCTACTACCCGCCCGGTTACTCCTGCCCGTCGGGCTAGTCGAAGAAATTCTTCGCCACATGTTAGGCAGAGGGTAGAACGAATGTTTGCGGAAATGCATGAGAATGGTGAGCATTCCTGTATAATCTCGCGAAAGGGGCCATTTTCAGTGGAATACTAAGTCAGTTGGATTATTTTATTGATCTTTCTTTTTTTTTTTTGGATAGATGTTCGAGCGGTCTCGGCACATCTAGCACGTTTGGAAATCGAACAACCGTCTTACGCCGCCGCCCTCCGACGCGTCCTGCCGCAGCACATATTCGAATCTGCACAACCTAGTGGGTCCCAGCCCTCTAGTCACCAGCGGGGTCCTGAGATAGATTGCCCATATGGCACTATAATACCAGACCTCCAACACTTGGCACTTCAGTCGCCTGTAGAAACACCCGCGAATTCTGCCGAACCCTCCCCAGGGGAACACGCAGATTCGGACGTGGATATGGATGCGCCGCCTGATACGATCCTTGTCCCAGAGGACCCGGACTGGGAAGTAATCCCAGTTCAATCCAATGGTCCCCAACCCGGAGGAGTCACAAGTACTTTACCTTCAACACTGCCCTCATCTAGCGCCAATTTCGACCCAAACTGCTCCAGATGCCTTGAAATAAGTTTATATATTTGTGACCATTGTTCAATGGCTTACAATAACGCTGTCAGGGGCCAAGCGCAAGCAAATAGTACACTTTATGCACGCGGATTCAGATGTCCCGTCTGCGGAATGATTTGGTGTTGCTGGTGCCGTAGGGGAGCTGAGACTGATACCATCAGCATGTCGTATGGATAGGTTATATTCGAATGCCAGGCTAATACATTGTTTTCCTTTCTTGGCTGGCGTCCCCTACGTGGAGTTTTGGAGTTTTGGAGCTTTGGTCTCCCATGGGATCGGGTAAGGGTTTGGGTATTGGTTTTTGTTTCATACTAGATTTCACAGAAGTCTAACGGGCGATATGCTCTGCAGGTTAATTGGTAATAACCCTGTGGGAACCGCTGGTTGGGTATTGTGTATTGTAAAGTTTTACAGTGTAACGAGGACAGGGAATGCTATGAAAACAAACTACCAATTTCCCATGCAGCTCTCATCACCCCGACGCCTCCAGTCTGCGTTTCAACCGTTCTTCCCCGAAATCTATCATTTAGATCGCCGCCCCTCATATTTGTTTGGACTTTGGGTTTGCCATCTTTGGGCTTACCTTCCCAGTTCATCTTCCCGGATCTTGCAAGCTGTATTTCGGCCTCTGTTGCCCCAGCTTCCCAATTATCGCCCCTATTGGTATTGACAAGATCCACGGCTGCGGGGTCTCTCTTCAATCCTAGGTCACCGCTTCGCAATTTATCGCCGATCCCAGGATCCTTCTCGAATAATGGTGCGGACCACCACATCCCAAACACGGAGGTGGCTGGATGTCTGGTAGTCCAAGCCGCAATAGAATTGTGACCAATGAATGGAAAGAAAGTTTTGCACTTTTCGATATGGATGTCGAGGCCGGGCTTATGTTTCTCGTCCTTCGATTTCCAGGTTTTAGTGTAAGGATGTGGTGAGCAGAAGGCCGTTAGATGGTGGAAGAATATTCCTAGAATACCGATGACTGGTTAGCGGATATCCTTCAGGCAGCTATATATATTAAGCCCTGTATACATGACGGAACATACCTTTGAAAGCCTGTTGGTCTTGATTACACCACCCCCAACTATCGCAATGATCCTCCAAGATGTCGGCTCTAACCATCTCCCCAACTTTACCCGCACTCGAAATCACACTCTCGATAAGTTTATACCCATCTTCCAGGTAAACCTTCTTGCCCGTCTCTTCCCATAACGCTCGCAGGCCGCTTAGTACAACGCCTTGGTTGTAAGTATACGTCTGCTCGTCCCTCTCATCACATTTCCTCTTCCAATAACTGCTCATATGGAACCCATCCGTCACCAACCCAGCATCATTGGTGAAATTACTACCTTTGAACCAATCATATGCCTTAACCGCATAATCCAAATATTCAGTATCCCTTTTTTGCCCTTGCCTCTTATCTTCTCCACCTCCAAAGAAAAACCAGGAGTCGGGCGGATTGAACTCTGGCGGGAAAGTCGTATACATCTGTATGCTCGCCGAAATGAATAATTCGTTCGTAATAGCGTTCTTATACGGTTGCAAATTCGGATTCCAGATCATGCCCCCTCCGCAGAATAACTCATCCCATCCTCTTTCAGCATACCCCCAAAACTCCCGAGCACGGAGCGCAAACTCCATACGATAGGTATAAAAATCCGGATTATAGCTCTCCGGGAAAAGGTGGTAGTAAGCATCCAAGAACCTAACACCGGCTAACCATCCGAGGACGACCCAGAGCATATCATCATACGCTTGGAATTTGAGAGATGCGACATTTTGGGTGTGGTAGAAGGAAATAATATCCGGGAAGTAGATATCTATGATGTTTAAGGTCTCATTTTTGGGTAACGGGGATAGAAGGATGCTGTGTAAAGCCGAGACAGCATGGGTTTGAACTACTGCTGCTGTCCAGTCGATAGCGCTGGGGTAGTCGCCACTTTCGGGAGAGAAGAAGACGGATTGCAGAGTTTCGAACGAATGTATCAAGTAACGTAGAGGTTCAGAACCAATTGTCGAGTTGAGAGTTATCCCACTGCGCCTATGTTCTACGAATTGAGGCGATAATGGGATCTGGGCGGCGCTAGATTGTGTCGTAAATACTGTTATCGGTAGAATGCATAGATGGAGTAGACGCAACCGAAAGCTAATGTTGGAGGGACGCATAATAAAACAAACGAAAAACAAGACTGATAAGAGGAAGCAATATACAAACGCTATATCGTACAAAATAGTGGCTAAAAGGACATGACAAAAATGGCTACGCGTGTGCGGTTGGTATTTTAAAAGATCACGGATCTTGAAGATTTTGGGGTGAGATAGCGGCGGTTGTTTTGCGGGGGAGGAATTCAGCCACGCCTGTACACGTGCGTGTGTGGTATTTTGAATTCAACACAGGTTTTAGACATCATATGCATGCTATGAATTCATATGAATAGGTACTTAGACACTTGTGGTAACGTGTGTAACGTATGCTAAATGTAGGCCTAGCTAATTACAACTCTCGTAGGCTAATTACAATGTTTTCAGTTAACTAATTGTTATAATTTTGTTAGCATACCTCAAAAATTTAAAACATGTTGAGCTCGTATCCATACACCTACCGGAACTTATATCTTTAGTTTCAACCGACTTCTGGGCGTCGGTCCTGCGTATTACTGTAGTTCGAGATTTATATTTCAGACTTGTGTCAATACGGCTCCATTCAATCTCGAACCCGACTTCATTCTCGCAATCTGCGCCTCCAACCACAAAAATCCGCTCGAGTTGTGGTTTTCGATCCAGTCCAAAATTCTGTCCATAAGAACCCGCAAACCTGCCCAATAGATCCTCAATGTAATTAAGTAGGTGCTCTAGATACCAATCCGTATATGCCTTAAAATTTTCATTTCCATCAAGGACGTTGTCGGTAAAGCCCATTCGGTACTCTGATGGAACCGAAGCCAAAGTGAGGACACGCAGGTACGGCAGCCTAGATATCCCACTTAACGGCATTTGTTCAAAACACCAGAAAACATATTGAAGAAACGGCATTCTTCTAAGCAATGGGGGATCAATGCGTTCGTTATCGGCAGCAGTCTACACGTAGGGATTCAGTTAGCGTGACATAACCATTGAGCACCGTCCGGACGTCCTGGTAT